AGGTAGTCGATGCAGCTCGAGTGCATTCGTAAGCCGTGATAAGTAGGGCCGCACGGATAGTGGGTGTTCGCTGCTCACAGGGCGTAGTCCATCAGAAACGCGTGGAAAGCTTCGCCCGCGTAGTGCTGCTGACCGTATGCATGAACGCCTATGGTGGCGTCGTCATCCTCTGTCAAGCAGGCGCGCGCGAGGCTGTCGTTCAGGTCGGCGCCGATGAAAACGCAAGCGCGGTTCGGCAGGTTCGAGACGATGTCGCGCAGATAGCTGAGAATTTGTCGATTAGGACTTCGTTCTTGGAGGCAGTGGTGGCGCGCTGCGATCTCGGCGGGAAGTATGCTGTGATGAAGGTGAAGTCAAACATCGCGTTCTTCACGCGCGTGGCGCCAATACGGCCGCGTAGAGCGGGTGGAGGCTGCCAGATCTTGACTATGTGTGCCTTCCGAAACCATCGTCTGTTCAGCCAGATTTCGGCGCCGCATGATTTATTGCCTGTCGTGTTCTTAATACTGCGATGCCATCCAAACTTCAGCATGAGAAACTCCGCTGTCGAGTGCGTCTCGTAGGAGGACGCTGTCTTGGTCTGCGTTCCAGAGAGGAGAACGGCATCGATGTGTTCGAGCTCCTTTGAAATCTCCAGGCGTTTGTCGTAATCTTGCAGAGACATCGGATTCCATGAGATGAGACGCATGTAGACTGTCAGTGTGTGACAAAGAAGCCCGACTTTCAGGACAGTGGGCATAACGTCCACGCCCTGGCGAACTCCGAAAACCCGAGCCAGAGCTGAATGTGTATATATATATATATATGAGCGGTAGCGGCCTCGCGCGCGGCGACGGGGCAGAGTAAATCAAAGCGGCCGAGCAGGCGCGCGCGACCGGGATTTCCTGCGGGATCGCCTTGGATCGCCGCGCTAGTCACCATAGCAGCTGAGGCACATAGCCATCCGGGCACGGATGGCGAGGAGGGAAAATGCTGCCCGTCGCGGGACGGCCCACGCGAGGACGAAGCGAGCAGCTGCCATGGAGGATATAGCCAACCCCGCGTGGTTGGCGAGAGGAGGAGGCCAGCCGCGCAAGCGGACGTCCCGCCGAGTGGCACAATGCGTGGAGGGCGGTGCCACCGCTGTTGCAGGGGGGAAGCACCAGGAGAGGCAAGAGAGGCATGCGACAGGCAGGCAGAGCCTTGGATGCTTCAGCGCTTGGGCATGGATCGCCACACGTGTTTCACGTCAGCGGCGCAGAGGGTCCTCAAGCGCGAGCAGCAGATGGAAGTGCTAACTACGATCGAGCATTGTCGAAGGCGCAGCGTTCAAATCGTCGCACGCTGCAACATGCAAGCGATTGGTGTCACACACACACACGCACACTCTCTCACACACACACACACACACACTTTCCTCCAGTGGCGAGGTGGCGTCACCGTCGCGATCACTCAGCCTGGGCACGCCTCGTCGAAGATCACCAAGCGTGACAAGTGGGTGGACTCCCAGGGTGAGTCGCGTACAGAATACTATGCCAAATTCCGGTGGGTGGCTGCGCTAGGCGAGCGCACGTGCAAGGACACCCAACGTGGTGGGAGCACAGCACACATACGTACACACATGTGTGTGTTGCTTCCTGGCCGGCTGGTCCAACTCAGCGAAAGATTAGCGAAATCGTGAACGATAATCCATAAGTGTTTCGCCCCCTGCCGACGGGACCCTCACTCGGAGAATGGGGCATGCAAGAGCTATGTTGTGAGGCCTCGGCGCCGTCGTGAAACAGCGTCAGAACTCCGAATGGGGGCCATTTGGGATATCCGGATGCACACCGTGCAGTTTACGGAGAGGCGAAGATTGCGCGATTTAAGAATTATGGTCTCGGGAGCGCGAACACACCGTAAGTTGCAAGGGTTTAAGGCGTGGGGGGCGCGAGCACGGCGCAAGTTACGAGGGATTGTCGCTTCGGGGGCGCAGATTTTGTGTATTTGCACATGTCCCAGGATCCCCGGAAATTCTGAGAACCCCCAGGTGAAGGTAATAACCAGGGCCCTTTTCGGCTCCCCCCCCTCTCGCGCGGATTTCAACAGTTCACAGTAGGAAGCACAACACAGAATTGTAACGTCGAAGACTGGACACTGGAACTGGAGCAGGGAACAGCAAGCCTAGTCCGCGGAGCCTGATGGCCCCGCGAGGGGGCCTCTGCGGATTTCCATCGAGCTTTGCTGATGAGACAGCGCTGGACGCTTGGTGCGGAAAGCCGGCCGTGGACGACGGGCAAGCACAGGCGAAGGCCATCAAGAACGGCCAGGAGACGGCGCGGCGGTGAGGTGGCCAGGCAGTGTGGGCAAGGACCAGGGGCGAAAATTGGGCAGAGGCGCCAGGACAACGGGAGGAGGAAGCGGCCAGGAGACAGCGCCGCTGCGGGGTGGCTCCACAGTCTCGGTAAGGGCCAGAGGCAGAGCAGCACACAAACAGACACACACACACACACACACACACACGCACACACAGGTTCGGTCGTCGCGGGCGGGCAAATCGCCACGCCGTCCAGCCCGCGCGCGCCCAGTAGTCAGAGGGAAGAGAGAGACAAGCAGCAAGAGCAGCGGGATGCCGCCGATGAACGGCAGCGGAGAAGCGGAGGGCCACCGGGCTGGCGGCGGCGAGACCCGGGGGGCAGGGCCACGCCTCGAGCTGGGCGGGCGCGCGGCGGCGGCCGAGGCGCGGAGCGGCGGCCAGGCCCGGCGGACGGCGGCCAAAAAGGCGGCCCGAAGCAGGACGGCGAGGGGCCGCTCGACCGAGCTTAGCAGGGAGAGAAACACACACACACACAGACACAATTACTCGTCGATTCCCCAGGAAATATGGGAAGTGGGGGGGGAGACGCAAACCCAGAAAATATGGGAAAATGTTGGGAACATCTTTCTATGTGTGTGTATTTACTTGTGTGTCCTGGGGCCCCTTTAAGAGCCCACGGCCCGTCGGATCTCTGCCCGGCCGAGCTGCCGGGCGGGGCCGCGCCGGGGAGAGCCAAGAGGCAGGCGCGGGGCGGCGAGGGCCACCCGAGGGCCAGAGAGAGGCCCTGGAGGGCGGCGGGCCCACGGGGGGGCCCGGAGCGGGGGGGCGCCTCGGCAGCATCACCAGGAGCTTCAGGGGCAGCCTCCTCCTCCTCCTCATCATCCTCCTCCTGCTCCTGCTCCTCCTCCTCCTCCTCCTCCTCCTCCTCCTCCTCCTCCTCCTCCTCCTCCTCCTCCTCCTCCTCCTCCTCCTCCGGGGGGATCTTCAGGGTCAGCGGGGGCGCCGCATGGGGCCTCGGCGCTGGCGCTGGCCTAGGTGCGCTGCAGAGGGAGGCGGGCGCTCGTGCACCAGAGCGTGCAGGGGCCTCTGGAAGCCCAGGGGCACGATCTCCGCCGCGCAGGAGTGCAGGATGCAGGTGGCCTCGTCGAGGCTGAGGTGCCAGAACTCTGCACAGAGGTCCGTGCAAGCCCAGCTGAGGTCGTGGAGGTGGTACTTCCAGGCCCGGGAGAGGTCTACTCGCGTGGGAGGCCGCCCAGCAGCATGAGGCTGCGCCCAGGTACGACGGTCCCAGGGGGGACCGCCGCGACCATCAGCAGTGGGGATCATTCTTGCACGCCGCGGGGGCAGTAGTCGCAGCAAAATTTGATTTCGCCGCTGTCCAACCCGACCGTTGTCGATCGTGACGTGGGAGGGAAGAAGGATGCCACACCGTAAAGGATCCGTCGTCCTGCATGCCGGTCGCACCTCCTGAAGACACACACACACACACGCAATTCTTGGCGTCGCGGCCACGCGTGCGGCGGCGCGGCGTAGAGCTACAGCACACACACACACACACACTCACACACACACACACGCGCACACGCACGCACGCACGCACGCACGCACGCACGCCCGCCCACCCCGCACGCACGCACGCACGCACGCACGCACGCACGCACGCACGCTCGCACGCACGCACACACACACACACACACACACACACACACACACACACACACGCGCGCGCGCGCGCGCGCACAGGCACACGCACACTCGTGCTGTTGTTCCTCCGGCGTGCCGAGGAGTCCAGTCGGCGGATGGGAGATGGGGCGTCGCCCTCAGGGCACAGCAGGTTCGCGTCGTGTCGACGCGCCGCGACCCCGCCGCGGGCCTTCAAGGTTCAGCGCCGCCAGTGGCCCTGAATCGGCCAGCATGGCTGGCGATTGGAAAGCTGCCGATCGTTCCTGGTTGAAAGATCCGCGTGGTGTCAGAAACCAACGCGCAGGTCGTCACGACACGAGCCCGCCGTACAACACCCCCCTTGTGGATAGGGGGCTGCAGTCCAAGCTCGCGGAGGTGTGCGGAACTCCTTCTGTGCAGCGCGCACTCCGACTCCGCAAGGGCGATTCGAATGTGTGGAAAAACATTGAAGAAAAAAGCATACACTGTGGAAAAACACTCACTGTGTGTTTTTGCTTCCACGGTGAATGTGTGTTTTGTCCACAGGATGTCTTTTTCCCACATGGTGTTTTTCCCACAGGCTCTTGTCAGTGGCGCCGAGTCGATCTAGCACGGCGCGAGCGCTCCGGCGCGCGATCCGGACTTCGTGGTCGCCCGGTCAGGCGCGGCGGCGACTTCGATGCTTGCCAAGTGCTGTCGGTGTCCTGCAGATCTGGCTCCGCTCGACTCGGGCCTGCCTGCTGGTCGTGGCACGGCTCCGAAAGTCGACGCGACGAGCTCTACGAGCACGCGATTCGGCGGAGAGGGAGGTAGGAGCAGGGCGAGGGGACCCGAGTGCGACGAGCGGCACGACGAGCGCGGCGAGTGCGACGACGAGCTTGGGGGTCCGCCGGGCGAGGGGGGGGCGCTTGTGGTGGGGGGGACAGGCTCTGGTAGGGTGGGCCTCTGGGGGGGCCTCTGGAGGTCCTTTGGGGGGCGCCTCTGGGGGTGGAAGGCTCCAGGGCCCGAGAACAGGACGAGAACGAAAAGCACCGCTTCGCTCGAGCCCTGCCGCGGAGGCGGC